CCAGATTTTGCAATCAAATGTACCTAATCAACATCTGGAACCGTGTACAACTCACTTGTTTACCAGCAGGAAGTTTAGACGCCCACCAATGAACGTCACGTTTCGCTGTGAAGAATAAAAGCGGTATCGAGCGTGAGCAAAGCATTTATTTCATTTGATGCGTATATTAGAAAAACGAGCGATTTCACGTTTTTTGCTTTTGCAGCAACCTGAGGGAAAAGGGTTGGATACGGAAGATTTCTAGTTACAACCATAATTATTTACACTCCTGAAAAGAGCAATGGAGCAGTTTCAACTGGGTTTCGTGAAGTGAACATTAAATTGAATGCAACATATATGATTCAGTAGAGATCTTATAGCGGAAGAAGACAATTATGAAATTTCCAGCACAGCCGGGTACAGTGACTTGAAAAGCCTGAAAACGGATCAGTTCGCTGTGAATATTTTATAACCAGTCCACTATTGATATATAAGGTCGATATACTTCAATGTTGACATTCGTGAGTGATACTGGCTATCATAATCATGAACTAAAGATAATAGAGGTATAGGAATAAGTACATGACTGTTTTGACAGAACGCACGGTTTGAATAAATTATTTCTGCACTTGATGTACGTGCTTTGCTTCTGTATAGTTATGATAAGCTATATCGTATTTTTTTCGTGTATATCATTGATAAGTAATCACATGATTTTTCTCGCGCCATTTGGAAGAAATAAGCACTTGTAAATTTGTTAGTCTTTGAAAAAATTTACTCAGCGTCGTGCTTATTTATTCCAAATTGCACTCGAAATCAAGTGATTGCCTATACAAACTGAAGCTAAATTATCATACTGTGCGATATATTGCGTCCTGTATAGCAGCTTCTAACGTTTAGAGAAACGTGTTTCGTCATATTTTGACAGTTATCATGCTAATTCCTGCTTGTCTAGGATTTCACTATTTAAACATTTTCCTTTCTATATTTCTCTTTGTGTTCACCAGTGGTTCTTTTAGAAGAAATTAACTATTTGTGATTATAATTATGAAAGAGATCCTTGTAAAATGTGAAATTCAAAGTATTTTTGATTACACGTTAAAGGGACTTCATCAGTGTACAAAATTTATAGAATAAATTAATGATCATCATAGAAAGAGGACTTCGAAAAAATCCCTAAACTACGTGCACCTGAGGATCAATTTATGGGTTCTCTTATTTCTTAAAATTTTTGCTTCAAATTCAGTCTGTACCACAGTAGCGCGAGTTACAAGTAGGTGGCTGTTGAAGTTTGTAGATGAAGTAGGATCCACATTTTTTAACAAAAATATTGTTTGAGCATTTGCAACCAGCAGAGTGATCACTAAAGCAGACCTCTCTTTTAACTTTACCATCTTCCACTGTAGAATGAGCAGTCGTCAACCAGCCTGACCGGTCTGTACCACATCTTTTTGCTGGCACACGCGTTGTTGGCATTTTTGTTCCTGCAGCTCCCACCAAACGATACCATCCCTCAGAGAATGGACTGTCACATATCTCTGAACCGTAAGGTGTTGAGTAATGAAAATGTTGAGAGATGAAATTCATCAACTAAGAAAAGCAGTATCTGAATTTGTGTTCCTCTTTCTTTAATAACGCATTAAAAGACAGTCTTCAGCAAACTTAAGGCACAGCTAACGTAGTTTACAAACAACTAAGCAGCAATATGGTCGTTAATGGCCACCTGAGTAGGAAAGATTCAGATCGAGTCCAACCTATAGCCACCTTAACTAATTTAATTACACGGTAGATACCGAAAGTACCTTCACACTTTAAACCATTCCCGATATATTTAGGATTACAGGAAAAGTTGTATGAGCCTTGAGTATTAGTGCAAGAGGCATTCGGATGGCGGTTGCTCATTTTCACGGTATGAGCTTCACTGCATTCGTCGATGTCTGAAAGAGAACATACACATTACGTCAAAATCAAGCTACATAGAATGTTACTCAAAATAATGTTTCACGCCGTCGTCTATTACTGTTGAAACGCCCATCCCAAGGCAGAAAGACACAAAAAGCATCAACGATGAAGGGATTCGTAACATTATTTACGGCAGTGTAATACAAATAATCCTTCCACCTATAGTACTCGTACCAAGCTGAAGCTCTATCATAGCTGCGTCCTTACAACCCTCCTGTATGGCTCAGAATGTTGGCGCTTAACGGAGAAGGATCTATCAAGACTCTCCACTTTTCACACCAAAAGCCTTCGGCGTATTTTACGCATCTTTTGGCCTAATGTCATTTCCAACAAAGATCTTTTTGAACGGTGTGGAACCGAATCAATGGCTACCATTCTGATGAGGAGACGCTGGAGGTGGATTGGCCATGTCACCCGCCAAGAAGCTTCCATTGCAAAAACTGCTATGCATTGGACGCCAGAAGGGAAACGCAAGCGGGGTCGCCCCAAGATCACATGGCGACGGACAGTTTAGAAGGAAATAAAGGAGATGGGGAAGACCTGGGAGGGCATGAAGTTCATGGCAATGGATCGCCAGATATGGAGGGAACACGTTGCTGCCCTACATGCGTGTTGTTATCGGTCGCAAAAGCGTGCTCTATCAGAGTACTGAAAACATAAGGCTGAGCTAAGACTGTCACGCCATTTTCCAAATTATACTTTTTCTGACCATTTCTCGAACTTCTCTCTATCTTCTTTATTACTAATTAAAAGTGAAATTTCGGAATGAGTGAAATAGTAACAGAAGAACCAAATTAAGGTTTCGAAAGATGCTAAGCGCCGCAATTTACGCTATCATGTCGTGAGCAGAGACGCAAATGCTTCTCGACTACGTCTAGTGCTTCTCCCTACACTTCGTGCCAGCTCTAGCCACTTCTTACATGCTTTAAAAAAAAAACAAGAACAACAAACAAAAATTCATTATAATAGTCAAAACCAATAAGAAGGCTTCTGAAATTATTGACAGTACCTGTACAGTTGCGTCCATCTCCAGTCTATCCAGGTTTGCATGTGCAAACGTGTGATCCGTGCGTGTTGTTACAAAGAGCATTTACGTGATATTTGTCGGGGTATGTTTGGCATTCGTCAATATCTGTCAAGAAAAACATTGAGAAGAAAGAGAAAAGAATGAAAAATGAGATTTGGTTTTTATTCAAAAGTCTTTAATCTGCTTGTCCTCATTGTCAACTTAAATTTGTATTGTAGCTCTGAAGCCCTTGAGGTTTGAGCAGATCGTTTGTTTTGCGTTTTCTTGACGCCCGTGAATTATGGTCATCGTGGCTTTCGCGCAAGGTGCAGCTGTATAAATATTCATAGTAAATTCCGATACGAATCGTCAGTATTTACTCAAAGACTTCCTCGAGGCCAGAGCAAATTTTCAAACTAAAATTACGTGACAGGTTGATGAAAGTCCTTTTTAAATTAGAGAACTAACTTTCAAAACCACAATTAAGTGCAACATTTCCTAAAGCAAAAAGGAAAAAACTCAATTGAAATCCTATCGTGATAATTTAACGTTGAGGCGCTTTTTAAATACTGGACAAAATTAAAAACAGGTAATTAAGTGTTAACAACTGAGTTGAAAATGTAAATTGGCCTCCGTAAAGAGTAAAAAAGCTGACGTTTCGAGTGTTAGCCCTTCTTCGCCACATCTTCTTAAAGCGATGAAAAAAATCACACCTTCGTTGGATGCCACGCCTGAGGTAAAAGACAAAAGGAACAAATAAAAAGTGATAACAAACGCGCTCTGCCAAAACCTCGAAAAACTTGCTTTTAGCAGTATTTCATTCTAAAAACATTTCTAGAATTCAGTTTTGACAGTTTTTAGAAAAGTCTTGTACGAGCAAGATCTGCTTTTCCTTTTTTAAAAGTAGAACGGTCACTCCAACTTCAAGCAGTCTCAAAGTACTTAAATGAAGGAATCCTCTTCTTAGGTAGACTTGTTGGTTCCAGAAAGTAAGCACCGCATTAGAAAACAGCTGTGAGCCAGCGCCTGCTCTCTGCGAAAATTTGGAGAAGCTGTTGACAGCTCCTTACTTTTTAACAAAGATTGTTAAAATCCGCAGTAAAACTCTGGTAGTTTTTAATGAGAGAGACTTACTTTTAAGCAGGAGCTGTTTTTTTTTGTAAATGATAAATGAAAAAAACTCGCACCTTCTTCATTGTGAGACTTGTGAGAGAAAAAATATCACACCCTCATCTTGCCACGCGTTTGATTGAAAACTAAAATAATTCAAATACATGCTCTCGCAAAAACTAGAAATCATCGCTTTGATCAGTATATCTTGTATCATCAACATACTTACACGAATTCGGCGCTTTGGCAAAGAAGGATCCTCATGTTAGGTAAACATGCTGGTTCTAAAAATGATGAATGCCTCGTTTGAAAACAGCTGTGCGCCAGAAACAAGGTCTTCAATCGCCTCGAGGCTCTCCACAGAAAACCGTCACTTTCGATTGTATTTAACATCAGTAGTAAGACCAAAAAATATATTTGTACATTGACAAAACTGACTGGTAAAAACCAGGCGACTTGACTTACATATAGAGAGAGGTGGTTTAAATGAGTCACTGCAATACGGATAAATTTAATTATTTCTGAATTTGCGAACCTTTGGCTCGATGCGCTAAACGAGGGTCAAGTCTACCCCTGGGTACACCGATGGAGATTAATTTTACTAGTTCATATTTACACTACCCACTCCCCCAGTGCAGCAAAATTGTCACTCCTATAATTTTCTCGATCAGTTACGAGCTTTTCCGCCTCCCTTCGGCCAAAATCCCTCAGGACTACCAATTACTCAGGAGTTTTGTTTGGAAAAGTTGACCCGGAACAATGGGCCATTTCTTGATACGTTGCAATTATTTTTTTCACGCTGGTACAGCAAAGATTATCCAAAGCATACGCCATAAACTGCTCTTGTTTTTGCTACGGGAGCACAAAACACGTTATATAAACAAAAAAAGAAAGAACGAACTAAAATAAATCATCTCTGACCGCATTTCCTTGTTATTCTGAATTCACCTGTGCAATTTTGTCCATTTCCAGTATATCCAGGTTGACAATCGCATTCATGTGATCCATTGGTGTTGGTGCAGTTTGCATCCTCATGACAAGAGTGGTTCCCTTTACACTCGTCAATGTCTATGAAATCACAGATGAAAAAATGGGATTTCAATATTATGCAAAAATTGCCGTGCATAAGCCATTACTGTGTTAAAGAGTGCAAGCCATGGTTGTTTTTAACCTTTTGCTGGATTGCGAGAACGCGAGATTGTCGTACCTGATGAAAAAAACTTGTCTATGCAAAAACCTCTAAATAACTTTAAGTCAGGTAACTGTCTCACCTATTTTGAAAAATTAAAACATGGCTTGCCACGTTATCAAAATAAACGTCAACAAAAAACCAAACAAACAAAATCTCATTGCACTATTTAACAAGAATCTAAAGGCTTTTGAGACTATTGACAGTTACCTGTACAGTTATTCCCATCTCCGATAAATCCAGATTTGCATATGCACACGTATAATCCGTGTGTGTTGTTACACGAAGCCTCCTTGTGGCATTTGCCAATAAATGCTTCGTGTTTATCAGTATCTGTCATAAAAATTAGAAAGAAAGAACGACAAAAAAGAAATACATGAATAAATATCAACTAAAGACATAAGCATTTTGGTTTCTATCAAAGAGCCATAGGAACTCAGCAATTCGCAAAAGCCTCAATTTATTTGTAGCTTCTTGCTTTAAGTGGTTCTCTGGTGGTAACTTTCAATTAAGCTATCATTTCTGACCTCTCCTTGCGGTTACTATATTAAGCATTCGACATACATATGAACTGCTCTTATTTTGCCATGGAAAGGCGTCGAACATTCAAGGTAAATAAAAAATAAAACAAAAAAATTAAACAAATACAAAAAAACAAAACAAAAAACAAAACAAAAAAACCAAAACATAACGAAAATATACAAACAAGCGAACGAAGAATACATTATACAGGCTCAATAAAATATAGCAAGAAATTTTTCTAAGATTCCAAGATTCAGTACCTTATACAATGAGAGAAATTCACGCCACTTTCAGCAACTGAAGAACAGTTGTCATACCAGCATTGAAAATCAGGAAAAATCTCATATACGTTCATTGCAAGTGTTGACTTAGACTCGTACCCTTTTCACAATGTTCTCGTTCGAATCTAGGAGGACACAAGCATAGATATCCCTTGAGCGTAAATCCAGACTGGTAAGTTGCGTTATTTTCGCAGAAGGGACTCTTGTCACAGGCGTTCTAAAGAAAAAGAAAAATTGAAATGAAAGAAGAAACTAAATACCAAATGATCGAATACACGGAAATTTGCACAAACATTAATTATCGTTATTATATTAATGAAAGGCAAGAATTTCGAAAAATCGATTTATAACTCACCCTCGACCCACGATAATAAAAATTGGCATCAGTTGTCAAGTCACTGTCGTATTTCAGATGAGTGATCTTATTTAGTTCACAGATGTGAACTTGTTCATTATTGTCAGGATCCTTTTCGAAGTTAACACTAACTAACACAGTGGTCGTTCAGGTAGCACATTAGCTTACAGTCATCCAAGTTATTGACGCCTTTCTTTTCAATGGTATGTTTTACCAAACGTCTTTCAGTAAAGAAGTAGTAGTCCGGAAACACCATCCTGCGCTCTCGCTCTAAAATAGATAAATTGAAATATGATTATAGAGCATACTTTTCCGTCGCAAAAAAATTAAATTTCGAATAAAAAGTTCTAAGAACAAATCTCTTGGCAAAACTTCTCGGATCTCAACAAACTATGGAAGCAAATGCATTAAAAACGTAAGTCAAACAACTGAATGTTAATGTATTTCTATGAGACACAAATTACTTAATCAGTCGTCTCATATTTTTTCCAGCTTTCCTAATTCTACGATGATAGTTGCTCGAATTTCCAAGCTAAGTTATTATTAAGTGTGATATGCCACTAAAAAAGAGCACGGCAATTTCGAACTTCAATTTAAAGAAATAAAACGCTGGAAAAAATTGTGTGATCCACACTTTTAGTCCTCGAGTCTCTGTTCTTTAACTTGCAATGGTACATAAACTGAACATAAATTCAAGAAAATTTTCTAGCAAAGAAATGTAAAATTGTTTCGAAGACAGCTTTCGGGAAATGGGATTTTTTCTCAGCTAAGGGACTCGAAGTTAGCGTCGCTCTCAAGGCCTTGTATACTATTCGAGTTGTTATCAGATAGTTGTCTTCTGACTGTTGACTGGTCTCATTCGCGTTTTCAGCAACATAGAGAATATTTTACTTAGGTAGGTGATAAATTGTATCGTGCAATTTTTGCAACAATGTATAGACTAATGTATAGACTAATCTGTTCGAATAAAGGTTATGTGGACTTATTTTCCATCGGTTAAGATTCATCTTTCGTAAAATGTGTTTCAGTGGCGCCTTCAAACCAAGTAAGTACAAACATATGAAGAATATAGAATTAAAAATCAAGGAATTGCAGAATATTATTATTTCAAAGTCAACCGCCAGAACTGTCCTTGCGTTAGCGAATAGAAAGCAAGGTCAGACATACACGTTCGAATCTTTGACAACTCAGTTTGTACCATGGGCTTGTTTTACATTTGTTTTCAAACTTTCTAAACAAGCTTCAAGCTATCTTAAGGACAATAGAAGTATTTCGCTGAATTTACATGAAGTGTTCAAGCGAAAGCATTGAAAGTTTCATTTTGCGATTAAAGGTATTTATTTCTTCTTCTGTATATATGGCAATCGACCCCGGCATTACTTCCGTTGTCGCTTCTTCGTCTTGTTCGGTTGAACTTTTGCTTGCCATTTTCTTGCTTCCTCGTTGTCACGAGTGAAAGAGGTTTTTTTATGCCTCTCAAATAATTTTTAGTTCATTTCAAAACAGGGAAGAACCTCTAGCTCACTTTGAAAAACGCTTTTGTTCGTTTTTGGCTCTTCAAAAGGTGACACTGGTTTTTAAAAACACTTCAAAGTGACATTGTAGAAAAATTTGTTACAATTTGACGATAGTTGTTGTGTTTACGTAGATGCGAAACAATATCACAATTACCCTCGTTTGCAACTCATAATTCCACACTGAATACTTCGCTTCGTTTATCAATCGGAATGCGAGATTTTTTTCAATTACACAATTCTATGGATAACAACAGTTTTTCCCATCATTATTTCACTGCGAACAACCCCCTCTCCTCTCCTCCTATTCCTCTTCTTGTGGGTTTTATGCCGTTTTTTTTTGTTTTGTTTTGTTTTGTTTTGTTTTGTTTTTTTTTACTTTTTGTTGGTTTGTTTTTAAACCAGTAAGTTATACATAATTCGAAGATCATAAATTAATAACAATTGAGTTCAATTTTATCATCCTTTTGGGAACATAACACCGTAAGCATTCTAGTTTAGAATGACGAGGTAAAGGTAAACTGAGGAAAAAAAGGATTACCTCAAGTCTTAACTCGATACTTGCTTCTTGTGACCTGCACCTCGCGTGAAGCTTGTCGACGCTTTGATGCAGCAAAGTCTCTGCAAATTGGCTATTAGTTGGACCCCTAATGCTAGAGAATCCTCATTGTCATTCCACAGGTTGAAGTTTTTCGTCTACTCCGTTGTTTAGCGCTTTCAAGTGAAAGAACGCGAGATGCCATTGATGCTACCAGTTTCAAATAATTTGTTTTAAAGAAAATTTCGAGAAATCACTAAAATAATCACTCAGAATAATCCACTGATAATTTCAGAAGGCAATCAAAGACCTAAATGTATTCAAATCGCTCGGATGCACTTAGATGATAAATCACAATGGCATACAAAATGGCGGACTAAGCGCGCAATGTCTGGTGGTTGACTAAGATCCTTTAATAGCCAGAGAGCTGAAAAACTTGTGACCCTCAATTTAGCAAACAAATAATCGAACAGGTAAAAAAGGGAAAAGGGAAGGAAAACGATACAGAACGAGTTGTGCGAAGACTATTTATTTTATTTTGATGTTTTCCTTAAAAAACAATTACAACAACAACGACGACGACGACAAAGCAACTACAAGACTACCAATGGAACATTTTTTGAAGACGAAAGTGGCAGTTCTCTCCTGGCCCCTGGGTACCCATGCTAGTCAAGGCGGGCAGCTTTATGAAAGTATACTCACAGAGAATTCATTATCAAAGAAAAATATATAGGCCTCAATGTAAGAGAAATGAAACGATAACAATTTGTTCATAAAATGGATAATGGGGAAAATAATAAGAGAATATTTTACACTTCTAATTAGAACTAGTGGAATTTCTTTGGTCGAGTTGAACACAAGTGCAGAAATTTCATGCGGCAGCCACGTATTATTTTGTTTTTCATATAAACAACTTAGGCTTTTACTACCTGTGAAGTCGACTTTATTGTAGTGTAAAACTGTTTCACAATTTTTGGTTCAGTACATTTCGTTTTCGGATGATATTTTAGCAAACTAATGATAACCATTCTTGACATATTCAGGAGTGCAAGAAAAGTCTTGCGGACTATGAGTAGTAGTGCGGAGGGTATTTAGATGATAGTTTGCTATTCTAACGGAATCAAAATAATTGCAATCGTACGTCAGTATTGTGAAGAAAACGTACTCAGTAAAGAAAATCAACGTGCTCTGTGAGCAAACTCGTGAATTGACACATGATTTTTTAGACTATGTTTAATGTTATCTGGTTTAGGGAATTTTGTGGTTGATTGTCATATCTAGAGTACGAGCAGTAGTTCAGTGTTCGCTAATGTAGCAAAGAAACAAAGTAACGTTGGGATAAGAAGGCATTACAATTGAAATGATCATGCTATTACATTTGACAAGGTGGATGATGTCATGTGTTTTAAACGTCTATAATTTTTGTTTCTGGTTCAAAAGAAAAGGTTGGAAGTAAATGTGGGTGAAAAGTGAAATTTACTGTCTTTCGTTGTAAATATTAGAAAATCAAGGCAATACTGTCTTAATGAAAACATTAACGATTCCCTATTAATCGAATGAGACAAACGGGAACGAGTTTTGAGTGATATAACTAAGCCAAGCCTGCCACCGTCATTTTGGATCTCCACCTGGGTAGATTTAAGTCACCTGCTAGGAAACGTATAATCAATAACAAGATAGAATTCATTTCAGGCCTATTTATCAATTTTGTGGTGTGTAACTTTCGCATTTTAGTACGTTGTATGTATGTTGAATCTTCAAATTGTCTTGAAACTTAAAAGAAAATTGTTCTTTAAAAATTGACTGAAAATCGGTAGCTAAAATTGTTTGTTTAGGTGTTATTTGATTTTCGTGTTAACTTGTTATTTTGTCAGTCGCCTGCATCTTTTGTTGCTTCACACAGGAAAAACACACGCGACGAAACGTAATGATCAATTTTGTCCTCAATCTCACGCCATAACAGAAAAAGCTTTTGAACATCTGTAAACTCCGAACGCTTCGCAGTAAGTGATATTTTCAATGAATCTTCGGATTGTTTTCAAGTTCAAGGATTGTAAATTACAATTTTATGAAAAAACGAAGGTTGTTCTGTTATTTCAGTGTGAATCCTTGCATGCCTGTCAATCGCTGGCGCCGCTTGTTGAAACTAAAACGAAAAAAAAAAAATTAAGATTATAATTGGCTTCTTTTTCACTCCACCACTATTCTTAGCAACAAAGATCGCCATTTCGTCTGTTTATTGCTCGCCAAAAACTATCAAATACGCTCAAAAGCCTAAAATCTAAAAAAAAGTTTGCAGGAATCGACCAATCGAGCGAGCGAGCGAATGGCATTCCCCACATCGTATCTATAACTCGCTCTTGCGCATGCGCGCAATTCACGAGTTAAAAAAGGTATGATTTGCGACGAGCATAGAAGTCTCCTGTTGAGATCAGTTCCAGTGGAGTTGCAGGCGATGCATTGGCGGGCAATGTCATTCTATACGTAAGTTAAAATGATAGAAATTTCTTCTTGCATGACTGTCTCCTAGGTATCTTTACTTAGCTGTACAGTTTAGGAAAGTATTAGTTCTGGCTAAGCTCGCATTCACGTCCTCGCGTGGCAAACAGCCGTACTGTCACACAAAATATTTATGGTAGCACTGTTATAAGCCTTTTCGTTGAGCTATGCTACATTTTCTAAAGAATTAAGGGCCATTAATTGTTCATCACTTGCAAGGGTAAGGGGGGGAATGAGAAGATTCTAGGGGAATCACATGAGGGAACGGAGGGAAAGACGAGAAAAGATTATGTAAATCATCGGGATTTACACAATTTTTTTAAGTTCTCCCAACATCCTGCATGGGTTTTTACGCTGGTAAACTGATAGAAAGTGCAGTCTATTGCTTATACAAACAGATAAATGTAGGAAGCAATCTTTGTTACAAAATTAGTTTATATCAAAAATCCCTAAAGTGGATCAAGCATTGGAAAATACATACCAGTACGGTGGCTTTCAAGAATTTTTTCTAGGTGTACATTTTTGCCACAAGGAAAAATGATACTACTTATCTGGTTGAAAAATTTTACGTAACTTCTATAATTCGAACGAGAATTAAATGCGAAGAAATCAAATATTCCTGACAAAAATTAGCCTAGTTATAATAATATTTCAAAAAGGAAGAAGTTATCCAATTGCTTTAATTATCCCCGAGAGCTTTTAAGTTTTAATACTCAATTTTGTCACGGAAAGTCATACAGGGTGTCTCACCAGAGGAATCGAGCTCTCTCCGATTCGTTTTAATGTACCGTACCAAGTTGTTGCTGTGGTTACTAATACGGTTTGAGCTCGCGAACTCATGAGCTATATTGTTTTCAAAAGAGATTATATAACGGAAGAATGGTTCTACTGTTTTCAAGATTTTCATAGTAGGCTCCAAACGTCTTCGGTCCTGCTACGGAAATTCAGCAAAGCGTAATTGAAATGTTTGTTGGACGCATTTACTTCCGCTAGCTTTGAGATCAATCATTTTTAGCACATAAAGCTGTTTCAACGCTTCGCCGTCCTGGAGGGATGGATGGGAATGTAAGGTGCTATAAAATGTAGGCAAAGGTTCAGTTAATAATGAATAATAAGTCTCTCAGCTCTGGAAACAGCAAGTTTACGAATGCTTTAGTAAGGAGATTTTTTTCTTTGCGTACAGTATATCTGACAATTGATTTATCTAATACATCATTAAGAGAGCTTTCAAATTTATTTTGTTAATAGTTTTACGATTAAAAAAAGGCCACATATGTTATTTTCACGCTATCATCACAGGCTTCCTAGGCCGTGATCACATCTAATATCCAGTCTGTGATCACGCTTTCCACTCGTGATTTCTAATCGCCATTTGTGTGGCTACTGCCTTCTATAGGAGGCGAAGCCACATATGTTATTCCTATGTGATCACAGTATCATCAACTTATAACTTCCTATTCCTCTATTAACTCTAGTTTACGATCATGACAGCCAATATCACTCACGAATGTCAATAGTGAAAAATATCAACCATATATATCAATAGTTACATATCAGTTGAAAAAACCCCAGATAAGATAAATATGTTTATTAAGAGTTGTACAACTTCTCTAAAACATGTAATTTATTTCATTATTCTTCTCTACATATTTACACAGCTTAAAAAGCTAACCAACAAAATTATTCAACCGAGTAAACAATCTGTGATTTACGTTAAATTTGTCTGTAGGTTTCTGAAGAAATAGTGTTTATCTCAATTGCTACGCGTTTAAATTTCTTCTCGTGCATAGAAGATAATACTTGACTGGGGAATCGTGTGCAACTTCTAAACCTTAAACCGTACCCTAACCGAAACCCAAAATACTTGACACTGGCATTTGGGATTTCTTTCCACGTCGTGATTATTGGTTTCATTGGATTGGAACAGGGGCAATATATTTCTTTTAAAACTCTTCACCATGGGAACTCTTTCATGATAGAGTGAAACGGCGAAAAAGAGTTAAACTCTAATACCATACCTTACTGCCTTAAACTAAATAGTATTTACCCACACTAGTCCTTAGATAATCGTGTTGCTTTGTTTTTAAAGCAACTATCAGATTGAATACATCATTAGCACTAACAGAAGCGTCATATAATTTTTTAAACAAACTGCGACCTGTATTGCAGCTTCTAACGTTTTGAAAACAGAATTCGTCATCTTTTGCTAGTTATCACGCTAATTGATATTCCTGCAGCTTGTCTAAGATTTCTCAATTTTCAATTTCATCACTCAGGTTTTTATAATGATAGCAGGGATCGGCTGTAAAGTCAAGTAATAATTGCACCAGTAGTTTAGTCATTAGAATAAAAGGATTTAAGATTTTTTGCAACGTCTCATAACTCTGCCAGCTTGCCAATCAGTAGTGGAGCTTGTTATGTACAAGAACATTGACTATGCATCTATAGTAAAAGATCAGGTAGTCCATGTGTAGGATATCATCACTCAGCGAGGCCAAAACAGTCATAATGGAAATCCAAATTAATTCAGCACGATCTAAATTTGAGTTAGAGGACAATGGCCAACTGAGGAGCCACAGGTTAGATTTAATCCAATACTGCTTTAACTTTGAGTTAATAAGTTTGCTTAGAAACAAGACGTACCTTCGCATTCAAAACCATTCCCAAGGTATGTGGGATTACAAGAGCAGTGATATGAGCCCTGAGTATTAATGCAAGAAGCATTCGGATGGCATTCTCTCATTTTAGTATGATGAACCTCGTTGCATTCGTCAATGTCTGAAAGAGAACAAGCATAGTAAGTCAAGATTAAACTACAACGAATACCACTAGAAGAAAAAGGAAACTGAATATCACAAAATGTAATACTCGTAATCTTTTAACACCAATGATTAGTATGAAATGAGCAGAACGTTCCCTCGAAAACTGGAAGTAATAAATATCAGCCATTTACCCATCTGAATGGCAAGACAATTAAATAATTTCGGGATCTAATTATGAAGCAAAGTTGTCATTGTTAAGTGAAACAATTCCTTTTTTTACCTATTATAGAGATCCATTTTGTACTCTAAAAATGCATGCTGCGTCACAGTGCAAAATAAGATATTTGATGAATAATGTGTTGTTACACGGCTACAATTTTCCCCAGCAGAGCGTCCTATCATTGGTTTCCTTAGTCTCCCATAAAATCTAACAATTACTACTTTACCGTCAAAAGTCTCTCAGTGGGCAACATCACAAAATTCTACAACCCTAGAGAATTCTGTGCCACCCACGAATTTTTTCCAACGGTTTAAGTTAAAGAAGCTTTTATCTCTTGCACACGCTCGGTAAGAATTGAAGAGAACGCTTCTTTTAAACGTAACTCCTTCGCTTCTATATATATATATATATCTTATATGCAGCTTTATTGTTCTAAGTGGTTCTCTGGTAGGACTTTTCAATCAAACTATTTTTCACAAGCAATTATCATACAAACCACTAGAAGCATACGACAAGCACACGAACTAATCTTACTTGCCATGGAAAAGCGTCGAACGTTCAAGATTAGAAAAAAGAGTATACGAAAATATGTATAAGCGAGCGAGCGAGCGAAGAAAACATTACACACACTAAATAAAACATAGCAAGACGTTTTCTTTTGAAAAGATTCAACACAATATACAATGAGATAAATTCACGGCACTTTCACCAACTAAAGGACAGTTGTCATGGCAGCATTGAAAATCAGAAAAAATCTCTCATATGCGTCATTTTAAGGACTGACATAGACTCATACCCATTTCGCAATGTTCTCCCTCGAATCCCGGAGGACATAAGCACCGATATCCCTTGAGTGTAAACCCAGACTGGCAAGTTGCGTTGTTATCGCAGTAGGGACTCTTGTCACAAGCGTTCTAAAGTAGAAGAAAAAACTGAAATAAAATAATGAAAGAGGATGGAGGGATTGAATGGAAGAAGCAACTAAATACGGATGATCGAGTGCACGTAATTTTGCATAAACGTTAACTATTGTTATTATGTTATTCCAAGACGAAAACTTCGAAAAATCGATTTGTAACTCACCTTCGAGCCACGATAATAAGACTTGGCATCAGTTGTCAAGTCACTGTCATATTTCATATGTGTGGCGTTATTTAGTTCACAGGTGTGACCTGGTTTGTTATCCTCTGAATCTTTTTTGAAGTTAAGACTGACACAGTCGTCGTTCAGGTAGCACATTAGCTCACAGTCATCCAAGTTACTGACACGTTTCTTTTCGATGGTATGGTTTACCAAACGTCTTTCCGCAAAGAAATAGTAGTCCGGAAACACCATTGCGCGCTCTCGCTCTAAAATAGACAAATTGAAATGTGATTATAAGGCATACTTTTCCGTCGCAAAAGGAATAATTTCGAGTAAAAAGTGCTAAGAACAAATCTCTTAGCAAAAATTATCGGATCTCAGCAAACTATGGTAGCAAATGCGTTAAAAACGTAAGTCAAACAAAGCAGTCAGTGAGAAAAACTATGATTCGTTAAATGTAATAAAAAAATTTGTGAATTTTTTCGCCGTTTTCTACAAATAAACAGTAACATAAAAACAATTTTATTTGAGAGTTTGGGGGTTTCTGAGGTACGGAACATTTTTTCTTTATATAAACAGGAGCTTCGCTATTGAATGTTTATTAAAGAAATGTTTGACTGAAGAGCTCCTCTGCGGCTCTTTTCTTCGAACGATTATCGTGAACAGAGGGAATTCATGCAAATTTAAGCCGAGAAAAACCATTCTTGTTTTGCGTCAATGAGCAGATTTGTATTCGTTTTCGAAAGTTTTATAAACGGAAAAAATTAGAATGAAATTTTATATTTTTTTACTTTTGCAAGCCAATGCAAGTTGTTTGAATTGCTTAGCCATGGTGAATATAATCATCTCTTTATTCCGTCATTTGTTTTATGAAAACAACTCATTTATCTGTTCATCGTTTTAATTCATTAGTTGTTTTTCTCATGTCGAATAAAGCCCACCCAAATCATTTTTCTGCTGTTGAAAAAAATATTGATCAAAGCAACAGAGTTTTTAAAACACTGAAAATATATATTTGAATAAATTTCAGTCTAAGTATTCCTTGCTGGGAGATTGATTATGAAAGAGCACAAAATTAGAAAATTACATGAAGCTTCTATGCAAAGGTATTGTTATGTATTACTTCAATTAAGCTATTTGTTCTTTGGCAAGTTTTAAAGCCTCCAATTCGAAAAGCAATATTTAAAAGGATTTTGCGTCAAAGGTTTTATTTTTTCAATCCCACACAACGGTGAAATTATACGAAGACAAGCTCCCCTATGTTTATAGACAGATGTTTAAAACCAGTACAAATTGGTCTATTCCAAATGCCAGCATTGTCTTTCTATAAAAATAACCTCGCTTAAGTTTGCTGAGAGCGGCCAATTTTTTTTCCATGAAAATTATCGAATTCCCGTCTGCAACGCAACAACGAAATGTTTTTGATATCATTGATTACCCTTCCATGTAAATATGAGCTGATGAGCGTTAGGATGGAAGTTGTTTTGAATGAGGAAATTCTTCATCGTAGCAGTTCTTAGATTTTTTCTAACAAGTGAAAATTTCCGATATGGTTTATCATAATGACACGCCTTTGTTAAATACTGTTAATATCTACCAAAGAAGTTGACAAGACTGAGGTTCCTTCCTTTAAAAATCATCTTTGTTGAATTCAGGTTTTTAATTTTGTCATAAGGACAAGTTAATAAGCTAAGTGCATCAACTGTTGTAAATCAGCGACATAGAAATAAAGATTGACGGAAAATAAGATAGCACGGGCTGAAGTATGAATATAGGGATGGAAAATGATGCGCATATTGTAACTCACCTTTACCAAACGTCAAGTAAGTCATCGATGAAGTCCAGACTGCGAATACTAGAAACGCTGAAAATTCCATGCTTTCTCGAGACAACGGAGCTCAGTGTTGATGGTTTCAGTGTGCCACAAATTTCGTGTTGACCACCTGCATTTGATAATGAATTTAAGTAATAGAAACCGACCTCTTAGTGTTAAAAATGGGATGTTAACAAAATTTACAGCAGTCAGTCCTGCCCCTGCAAATGATATACGTGGGTACGCGTTTTAAAGTTTGCAAATGTACACGTTTCCAATGTTTTATATTTTATATTATAATAAAAGGGAACTCCTTACAAGTTTAATTGAAGCGTCAATAATTGACGAAAAGAAAATTCTTACAAAAATATGATAATAAAAAGAGATCTTATGTACTGAAAGTCCCGCTCACGAAATCCTGCGAATTATAGTAATTGGTTTGTAAGAGCAGACAGCTTGGCGTAACCTTATCCGCCAAAAAAGACGCTAGCCCTGCACTCGCACAGTCAGCTTTCATTTTCCAAAAACACGAATTCTCAATTAAGACTATAAATTAAGACTATATCTTGAAAGATGTCTGAAATTATAGAATAAGGTACGTTCTTGGATGGATTGTGAGTATCTTATTCTAATTCGACAAAATGAATAAGGGAAACTCCTTTTTGAATTTCGAATATCGTGTTTGTAGTTATTTAGCTGTACCTCCCACTTCACTACATCGAGCGAAATATTTTCTCGTTTGGCCCTCCTACTTACTCGAAATAATACAGGAACGCAATAATTTGAAGTCCTAAGTTATTAGCCATTTCATCTTCCTCGACATTCATTAACGTCAAAATTTATCAATGACGAGTTCTAATAAGCTCTTTAGTTTGAACAAACAATAAATCTTCCGTAGATGGTGGATATTAAACAACAAAAAATTCCATAAATTTTCTGAGCAACTTACGACCTGTCTCGATACATCAGGATTGAATAAAGATTGTCGACGAAGAACCCCTGAATGTTGTTTTAAACGCCATTTTCATCTCAAAGATAATAGCAAATTGATGTTTAGAAAAGGCCGTACCGTAATTTATGATTGGATTCATCCAAACCATTCAGTATCGGATCTGGCTTCCAAGGCCTTCATTGGAGGAACTTTTAAATTATATGACATTTTCAGGTTTTCCTACGTTAGATAAAATTGTTCAAGAGACATGTGAGCCAACATTTGGTTCCCGACTTATTTTTCCGATGGGAAACCATTTAAATCAACTTCCATATTTTTTCGAGGTTCTTCTTGTTCAAAATCATCACTTTTGTCATAATATGAACGGAATTCAAATGAGCTGCATATTGGTCTAAGTTGAGGGATAGGACAAAACAATCTGTGAAAGGAAATCTTTCTAAGAAAAGAAAAAAACAACTTTAATTTTTGGCAAGTTAGATATTTCAAATGAAGAAGATTTTTGTCATAAACTCTATTTTTCTTTACCGTAAATTGAACCCAAACAGCGGGCTTCGTCACTGCAGTAATACCTCTCTCATCACTTTATGGAATTTCCTGTCGTTTCGGGTTTCACAATTTGTGACGAGCTTGGAACCGCCAGCATTGACTTTTTTGTAATTTGGCACTTCTCTCTATTTACGGTAATGATGGAACTGCAATTTCTACAAGGGGTGTCATTATAAACATAAACAAATATCGCTGAGAAAATGTTTAAGAAGTAAACACTTGTAGGAAACTAAAATTAAGGACAATGATCTTGTTTATTTCAAATAGCTGAAGCTGTTTTTTCGCCAAAGTTTGTTATATCTACATTTGAAAGCTCGATATTTTTCATTTTCGTTTTATTTCAGCCGCACCAAAATAAAGAGGTTAAGAATGGATATTCAATTTACATCATGGAATGAAAGTCAAACTCAAGTTATCCATGCATTAAATATATCACTTTATACCCTCAAAGATTCAACGTTCTTTGGCGCCCAACTTTAGTGTTATTGAGCCAAACGTGCTTTCTTTTATTACTTTCTGGTAGGTATGGTTACGATAGAAACTGTTGGTTTCAAGCGAAAAAGAATATTAATATTAGAAATGAACTGCTTTCTGCCTGTTTGGACTCTTTGCACCAAAAGCTAGACTCGTAAAATAATACTAGGTGAAAAATGTAACCTAATTCGCTTTCATTTTCCAAAAAGATGAATTCTTAATTTAGACTTTATCTTGAAATAAATCTGAAATTATAAAATAAGTCGCATTCTTTGATTGATTGTGAGTCTCTTGTTCTAATTCGACGAAATTAATAAGAGAAACTCTTTTTTGAATTTCGAATATCGTGTTTGTAGTTGTTAAGCTGTACGACCCGCTTCACTACATCGAACAAAATATATTCCCGTTTTTCCCTGCTAATTATTCGAAATAATACAGGAACGCACAAAACTTTAATAATTTTAAGTCCAAATTGATAAGTCATTTTATCTTCCCCCACATTCATTAACGTCAAAATCAATAAATGACGAGTTCTAATAAGCTCTTTAGATTGAACAAACAGAAAATCTCTCGTAAACGCCTGATCTTAAAATACAGAAATTCAATAAATTTGCTGAGAAAATTACGACCTATGCCTCGATGCATCAGGATTGTATGAAGACTGCCAATGGCTCATTATAATAACACACCTTTTCCAAATACCATTAATGTCAACAAAACAAGTTTACAAGACTAAGGTTCCTTCCCTTAAAAAATCATGTTTGTTGAGTTCAGGATTTTAGTTTTGTCACAATGACCAGTTATAAGCTCTGAGCATCTACTATAGTGAATCAGCAAATAAAAATAAAGAGTGATGGGAAATAACACGAGCTGAAATGAATTATTTTTAAACAGAAATAACACCACCTGCATTCGATAATGGGTTAAGTAATAGATACCGACCCTTTTGTATTGAATATGGGATGTTAACTAAATTAATAGCAGTCAGTCCAGACCCATTGAAATGATTGAAGCAAATAAAATAGGTGGGCACGCGTTTGGGATATATGGAAAGACTTTGGATTTGGCGAGCTACGATTCTATCGGTGTTTACTTTCAGATTAGACTCAAGGATTTTGCCACACAAATTTCCATGGAGTGCGTTTAAGGAAATAACATTATAAACATATTCTTGAGAACATTAGATAAACAAACTCCGTTACTGCAGTCACATAAAAAGTCAAGTTCTTTCGAGTTTCTGAGAAACAACACCTTCAAATTGACAAGATCGATCCATGGATTCAGCGTTTTTGGTTTTTTTTTTCTTTTTTTTTTTTTTTTTTCTTTTTTTTTTTTTTTAATTATCAGAGGAAAACACCTCATAAAATTGATCGAAGCGCCTCCAAACATTTTCGGGTTTCCTTCGTTAGAGAAAACTGCTGCAGACTTAACGGGACCTGTGAGCCAACAATTAGTTCCCGACTCATT